ACAGAAGGAAGGGACTTTGTACTTTGTCTCTTGTCTGTCTAGATTTTGCTTGTTGATTTCTTAGAGATCTTCTTGTGTCATGGCATGTGTCTTACCCTTACTTGCTAGCTTGAGTGTAATCTCTTTGTATATCATGAAGTAATGAGTAAAAAAAAACAAAAAAACAAACCTCTATATCAATCCTACCTCGTTAACATTATTGTGGAAACCCATTCCCAAATGGACTGTGAACAAGAGGCATGTGGTTCCTTTCAGGTGTCATTGAGTTGGCTTTCACTCAGAGAAGCCCCGAGCACAACAGAAGGAAGCCCTGTCTGATTCTGCACCATCCCCACAATCTCCTCAGGGCTTAACTGCCTTGTTGCCGTCTCTGTGTCAATCAGCCTCATTGAAGGACTTCCTCTCCTTTACCTACCCTCTACTTTTCCAAGTATGATGTCCTTTTCTAAGGACAGATCCCCTCTAAATAACATGCCTGCAGTATGTTAGACAACATCTCACAATTCTTTCTCCTAAGGAACAATCTGACTGCACTTCATCCAAGCTAGATTTGTTTGGTTTTTTGGCAGTCCTGGAAGATTCAATATTCTTCACCAATAAAAATTGACAACACATCTTTTCAGGGTACACTATCTATTCCATGATGTTGTTGTTATGTCCCATCGAGTCACCTGTGACTCATAGTGACCCTGTGTACAACAGCCCTAAACCCTGCTCTATTCTGTGCCAACATTATTGTCTCCAACACGCCTATCTCCTTACCCCCCATTACCCTGGTGACAGAATCAATCCATCTCATCAAGGGTTTTCCTTTCCTGCACTCTCTCCGCAGCACCCATTAAAACACAGTAGGGATGAGAAGCAAATTTTTGCAGTCTTTTATTTCTGAGGATGGCCATGTACCTTGTTACAAAACTCTGTATTGCCTCCAAGTGTTTACTTATTTTTTTTTTTCTTCTTTTTACTGTGGACAAACACTAAATCTGTGTGGTTCATTTCTCAGGAGACAGGATGAAAAGTTCTGTAGTGTAAAAATATGACTCCATATGCCACCAAATCATCCCTGTATGTGAGCCTCCTAAACTGCTTCCCTCTCCTCCTTCCCTTGTTCAGTAACTACTTCTTGTACACAAGCAGGCCTGTCACAGTACAGCAGCCTGTTAGCCTGTTAATCTGTGTTTTGTAATAGCACAGCATATGAAAGAGGGAAAGGGACACCCTAGGAAGGTGCCTTGGGGCCCTCGCACTCTGAGGAAATCATGCTTCTCCATACAGCTGGCACCCCCATATAATAGTAGGATCTACAATTTGGGGGTGGGGGAAGAAAGAAAGAAAATCTCAACAGGCACATAACACAGTTATTTAGGTAAAGAAATAAATGAACTATTCTGTCAAATATGCTAGTTTTATGAAATCTAAAACCTTTAAACATTACAAATATTTAAATCTTTACAAAGTTATCTCTACTATATCTTAAAACATTTCAACAACAAAAAAGCCACCAGGATAAAATATTAATAATTGCTTTATCTAAGGGACAGATATCAACTCACTGCCAGAGTGTCAGAACTGAGTCATAGCTGACCCTCCAGCCTATATGCAGAGGTTGTAAGTCACCCAAGAGGAGGTTGCCCAGCTTCCTCTCTTGGAGCAGTGGTGGATTCAAACTGCTCACCTTTGAGTTGGAAGTACGGCTCTCAATTCACTAGGTCATTAGAGTTCCCTAGGTGATAGAGGTATTCTTTATACTGAGGTTTGTTTGTTGGTTTGTCTTTTTTTTTTTTTTATAGGAATTTGAGAATTTTCTAGTTTGATTTCTTTTTCAAAGAGGAGGAAAGAAATCACAGAATATTCTTTTCTAAACAGTTAAATGAGACATTATTTGCTTGAGGTCAGTTTTGTTGAAAAAGGAACATTATAACCATCACAACCAAGATGGTTAACTCTCAGTGTAGAAAACTCAAAACTAACCTTCTTACTCAATTTAGGTAGAAATCTTACTTAAACATTTCCTCTTATTTTAATAAAAGAAATTATAACTATTTCTAAGTCTTCACAGAGTCCTGGATATTTATTCATTTGCATCATTTCACCAGGTTGAGTAAAAAACCCACATGTGGTGCCATTTATTCTTCACAAAATGAGATACAAAGTAGATTCAGACATAGGTTAGAGCAGGGAGGTGACTGTAAATTAGAACAGCAACTTAATCCCAGGGGCTTCTGGACCTCTGCTCAGTTTCCTCCCACCCTGACACAGCATTACGAAAATGGCAACGGAGCAGTCCTGCTCTTGACAGGCAGCACCAAATACGGTGAGCATGGCACTGAGATAGAGGACCGAGAACTTGGAAAGGGAAGGTAGCAACCAGTGTTTACAAACACAAACCAGGCAATCAGTTGGGCCAGCCATAAATTGAGATCACGCTGAAATCTTTGGAAAGAAATAACAAGGCCTTAGAGCGTCCACCATATAGCCTAAGCCCAGCACAATGACCACATCATCTCTGTAGGAAACATTCATGCCAAAGTGGTACACAGCACCATTTTCACAGAAATGAAACATTAGGCTATCTTAGGTAGAAATTATAGAAATCTCATTAGAGAAGAAAGATCAAAATGGTCTGATTGACCCACTCTAGAGTAAATGCACAAGGAGAACCTGGAAGAAGCTGGTAGCCAAGCCTTTTGAAAGATGCCCACCCAGGTCCTTCATAGCAATGGTGCCATCAAGTTTCGGTGTGCCCAGATAAAAGGAGAATTAGTCATTTCCCAAGGTGGGCCCCTCTCCCTTCCTGTCCATCTTGGGCCCAATGTGAAGCCATTCCACCAAGAGTCCAAAATAGTAACGATAATAATAATAAAGAAATATAATTACAGACTCCTTGGCTCTTCATGCAAACCACTCAAGTATTTGAACAACAAAAAAAAAACAACAACAAAACCCCAAAAACTACACATAGTCCAACCTCTTCTACCAGAGCTTCTTCCGAGTTGACCGCCGCTGTCTCACCAAACCGAAAATGATGATCCCTCCCAGAGGCCGCCAAGAGCGCCCCGTGGTGAGGTCAGCAGCATGTCCAGCCCCGCCCCACTGAGGCAACCTTCCTCTGGGACACAGAGGAGCTGCCTGAATCTCAGCTGCATCCACAGCAGAGGGTGAGAGAAATCCCACTTTCACCAAGCCCATCTAGGAGAATCCTTTCCCAGTGAATCACCTTGTATGCAACGCTATCAAACACAAAATAGAGAGAAAGACCTGCAACTCTTCTTAACCACCCCCATGTTAAGTCTTGGTCATACTGGATTGTTCACTACCTGTATTGTCTGTAGCTTACACTCATCCAACAGACTTGTTTGTAATCAAGAACATCTACTCTACATTGGGGTGGGGGGTGGGGGGAAGACATTGGCAACACCTCTTAATAAATGCAAACAAAAGGAAAATGTGGAGATGGTATTTTCTCATCTAAGACTAACAAACATGATGTTGAGAGACCAATACCAAGGGAAACTACTGGGAATTACCCTAGATCAATCAAATAAAAATACAGCAACAACAAAAAATACAGCTACAGAATAAATCTGAACATAATTGTAGCCCCAGGAAACTCCATCAGTAACAGTAACAATGTGGAGGCTCTGTTAGAACTGGGATACACCTCTGGTGTACATTCTACAGTGTTCCCCTTCTCCTTACAGCCTTCCAGCCGTGAAGAAAGTTGTCCCTTTGTGGTAATCAAGTCCAGTGAAGACAAGCTTAATTAAAGAGGGGCGGATAGAGAGGAAGAGATAGAATATCAAAGGAATTCAGAAGCAACTATTTTTCCTATAATATTACTTAATCAAAGATATAACATCATTTAGAAGACAGGGAAGAGACCAAGGCTGTCATCCTGGAATGGGAAAGCATTGACTTGCTTGCCCAAATGGCCTGTTGCAGTGTTCGAGGAACCCAGTAACACTTTATAGCATATTTCAGGAGACTCATTGGACATGTGGCTTGAGAACTGTGCACCTTGGTTCCAAAGCCAATAGTAGAAAAGGGGGAAAATATGACTAATTCTCACTACCATTACCAAGCCACTGAAGAGGAGAGTGGTATGCAGCGCCCTCAAAGGATGGTTTCTGATGCAGAAGAGCACAGTTGGGGTGGGCAGGTGATGAAGGCTCCTCTAGTACACTAGAGGACACTGTGTGGAAGAAGTAAGCAGTTTGGGCCTTCTGCCAGAGCAGCGCCCCAATGCCAAAATTGTTCCTGATTAAACATACCAGGACAAGCAACTACCACTCCATCTTGAGGAGATACAAAATACTAATGGCTGTCAAGTGAGGCCAGAGAGGATGGTAAATAAGGACGCAATTCCTGGAAATGTGTCTGTCCCCATGGGATTTTTTTTGTTAGAAGGATGGATGCCTTTGGTAACCTGGGGTTTGCTGGGTAACGTTAAAAATCTTTGCCCTTCCTGAAGGTCACTTTACAGATCATAGGAATGCTAATCTGGTCAAACTGAGGAGAAAGAGGAAGAACATCCACAGAAATAATCTATAGCTTTGCCTGTGATCCATCACCATTGGGGTTTCCTCCATTCCATCAACTTAGTTAAGTCTGAGAGACAGTCACTTGAACTAGATATTGATCGGAATAGAGAGCTATCAAAGGACCCAGGCTTGAGATCTCATCTGAGATAAAGCTTCTGTGTATAAAGATGAGAGTACAGTCTCAGAGAGGTGAGTTACTTGCATAGTGTAAACTGGAAGCCAAAACAAGATTACGACTCCGATCTGCTGGCTTCTCGCTCAATGTTTTTTGGGTTTGGCTTGTACATGTGTGTGTTTATGTATGTGTTTCTATTTTTAACGCTTTCCCCATACAATTAAGAAAGGTCATGGAAGAGAAGACACGAAAAAGGTTTGTTTGGGTTTTTCATATCCAAGGAAGGAAAAGTTGTTACTCGTAAGGAAAATCCAGGCTGATTGGGAGGGGGGCAGGGGCATTACCTTTCAACACGAGAGGTTCTTTGCCTTCTCTCTTCAGCGACTCGAGGACTATGTGGAGTGGTTGGGAGGGCATCACTCGGCTGGGCTCATTGGTATTCTCATCATAAACTATAATTTCTTTGGAAAAGATCCTCTTGAAAGAGTCTTTGCCTTCCCTACAGGAAATCAAGTCTAGGACAGTGATCTTGCCCTGCTGCAGCCTCCGCCGGCTGATCTTGTCGGCACAGTTGATGTGGACAGCTCCCTGCATATGACTCTTATTATACTCCATGAAAGGCCTGCAGTCAATGATCACGGGGCCCTGGCTTGGCAGATGGCTCTTGCTGCACTTGGTCATCTTCTTCGCCAAGTCGTTGGGGTAGATGATCTTGATGCTGGCCAGCTGCTTGGGGGTCCCTGACACAGAGCTGCCCACCCCTCCTAATGGACTCATAGGGCCTGTGTTCTCATTGTTGTTGACCATCTGGTAAGCAGGGCAGGCAGTCGAGGTTCCAATGGCCGTGGTGGCAGTCCCGGCAGCGATGGCTTGGGTTGGGGTCTGATTGTCCTTGTCGTAGGTTGCCACAGTGCAGCAGCTGGCACTGCTGCATCCACAATTCAGGGAGCGGGCAGAGCCGCTGGATGAGGGCATATACGTCAGTTTCGCAGCCTTGAGGGTCACAACGGTGGTAGCGATGACAGGAGGGTGGCCGTCACTGCCTGGGACAGCAAAGCCCAGGTAGCTTGAGTCTAAACAAAGGTTGAGATCCTGAGGTCGGACGGGCCTAGACAGTGCCACCACTACCCTGTCGTCTAAAGGAGATGGAGGCATGAGGAGGCTGAAAACTGGCAATTCAAGAAGAACTCAAAACAGTCTGCAAAGAAGGGGAGGAGGGAAGAGAGAATAAAGTCACATGACACAAAAGGCAGTCTAATCCAATCCCTCAGGAAAGAGCCTCGCAGCCCTCTGAGCAAAGTCATCCTAAGTGCCCTTTACCATTCCGCTCTCAAAGCCCAAGACTCATGTTTTCACACACAGAAAGAGGATGCACCCACCCAATGTGGTTGCTAAGTCTAAGGTTAAACATAGAGTCTCTACACAGATATTGTTAAAAACCTCTCAGAGTCTTCCATGCAAGCTCAGCCTTGGCAATAGAAAAAAACGGACACAAAAATTAAGCTGAAAATAGGAAGGAGGAGTCTTAAAAGAGGTCCTCTCTTCACTCTGGACCTCAGCTCCTGGGCAGAAGTATACAGCAACCATCTGAGAAATCTACCATGTGTATAACTCTCACACATTTCCCTCTTAATCCCTTCATGTGCTGCAAAGGCAAAGCGATGACCAAGAGCTCTGGCAAGGAGTCACAGAAATACACAGCAGCTAAATATATTGCAAGGCAGATGCCGGCTTCGTGCGAATCACAATGAAAGTGTCCCCCTAAATACATCTACTTATTAGGTACTTTTCTTGCTTCCCAGTGTATCAGATCCTCCAAAAAGCACAACATAGTCATATTACAACTTCCCATGTGCCACATTAGCCTTTTGTAAATTAATCTGCATTTCCCCATTTCACTTGTTTTAAAACAAAGCCTTTAAGCCAAGGACCCTTGTACCTTCACCCCCACCATTAAAGACAGAACTACCTAAACTCTCCTCCCCCTTCATTTCTTCCACTCATACAAAAGATGCATCTTATAGCTCCTATTATTGACAGCCAGCCAGTTGCTCTGTATGGTATTTCAACCGCATCCAGATGGTAAACTCCGAAAAAGAGGATTGAACTTCTTGTGGATTCCATAAAGAGAATTTCCTTATCTAAGGGACACAGTAAAATTTTGTCCACAGGCTCTATGTCCAATCTCCTGAGAGAGCATCTGCAAAGGGACAGGTTCTTTTTCCTTATAAATATAGCGGCAAGGCACAGGGTGGCCTGCTAGTTCTTCTCTTTCTAGTAGACAAGCACACAGAAAAGAACCTAAACCCCAAATAAGAGCTGTTCGTCTAAACGAACTTTAAGAGCTATCTGGAAAATATCATCTATCTATCCCCTCTACACACGACAGTTATCTGAAGTGTCACAGGCAGAATCCATCCACACATGGGCATGCAACTCATCATGTCCCCAGATCACTACCTACTCAGGTTTCTCTCACTCACCTTTGGATGGAAGCGAAAGAGCCAACCCTCTCACTTCTTCCCTTGTGTAGTATTTTTTGAAAAGCCGAGTACTATTCCAGAAGCTATAACTGTTTCCCATCTGGACCAAACAGTGAAAGCCTTTGCTATTGTGTTACATTGTAGAACCTATCCCAGGATCAACAGTCCATTTCCTCAGAGAGGGATGCAGAACATGTCCGGGCAGACACACAGAGACCCCCATTTCTAACACAGAGTGCGCAGCCAGCACGCACGCACAGAGTGGATAGAGGCCGGCATCCCTGCAGCAGACCGCCCTGCTGATATATCACCCGTGAAACCTCCAGTCTGGCCCAGGAAACCTCTCAGACAAATGCTGAACTGCCCTCTTCTCTCGCGGTGGCCCTTCACCACAAGACTAGGGTCGGATTGGCAAGAAATGAAAGTGGTTAGAAACTCCCCTTCCCCACTCCTGGGGCACTTAAAGCTCTCCCTTCACAATACAGCGTGCTAACAAGCGTCAGGCATTTAAAATTACCGCAAAGCATCCCAACAAATCTTCCCCCTGTCTCTGCCTCAAATCCAAATAGACTGCAGAGAGAGTAAACGCATTGAGCAGCAGGAGTCAGACCTTATAACCTCACCTGCTGTGGCTCCTCATCAGTACTGCATCTCTCTGTCTCTGTCTCTCTGTCTCTGTCACACACACACACACACACACACACACACACACACCCCTCCCACCTTCCACTCCTCTACCTCTACTCCCAGTTCTCCTAAGTATCGGCGGTGACTTCTACTTACTTTATAAAATAATAGCCCTTCACCATTTGGCGCTCTGCTTCTGCTGTAGATTCACACACTCAGCCCCCATTCACTTGGCTTCATTGATCTCCAGCAGCAACATAGTTACTTTCTCTTTTGCTACACTGTAAATGTACGGTTCTAAAGGGGAGGACCCGCCAACGACAGACGGCGCGCTGGACCAATAGAAATCCGGAGAAACCCCATCACCGCCTCGTAGCAGGCTGCGACCAATGGAGAACAGGGAAAGGCGGGTTGGAGGCGTGGCCTCGTCTCTTTAAGGCGGGGCTACCCGACGCGTTTTCGAGTCTTCTGTGTTATAATACGGGCGGTGATGTCATTGGCAACCAATCAAACACTTAAAAGAGCCAGGCGGGGCCCGCGCGAAGCAGCTGCTCTCTATTTACACGTAAACCGAACCGGCAGGCTGCGGTTAACCCTTTGCGGGGCTGAATTGTCAATGGGCTGAACTCCTCTTTCCAGCTCACCTGGCTCTTTTCCGCTGAATGGGATCCTGCAGAGCTTGCTCACCTGGGGACAAGTCATGCTGGCATTTTATTTTTCTTTCGTGCTCTGCATGGATTGTCAAAAGTGCCGAAGTAACTTTCTGAAGGCGGGAGGAAATGAGGACAACCGCCGTCGCTAGTGTGCAGCTGGCTGCTCTTGCAGCTCCCGGGGACTTGACCGAGTCCCAGCCCGTCTGGAGAGACTGGACGTTGTGGTGAGGGGCGCCATCTTTCCTTCGATCCGCACATTTGACGCCTGATCGGCCGAGCGGAGGCCCCGTTCCCTGGGGACACCCGCGGGGCCACGCGCAGAGGGACGCGCCCGCCGGCCCCCAGATGTCGCTGCCCCTCAGGCTGCCCAACTGCTGCCCGGCGTCTTCGTCGTTGGGGCGACCTGACACCATGCTGGTGGCCTTAGTCCACGCCCCGGTCACGCCCCCGCCGTCCCCCATCCTCTCCGCCGGGCAGGAACGGGAGGGTCGTCGTGGTAGCGCCCCTGGGGGCTTCCTGCAGGACAAAGACTTGTCGGAGGTCAGCGATGACTGCAGTCCCTGGCGCCCGGCGTTCTGTACCTCCTCGCGCCCCCGCTGTGCCCCCCAGAGTTGGCCCCCGACGGTCACCGGGGGCTGGCCACGGGCTTTCCCTCGGGCTGGCCACACGGGGTGCTGGCGCGGCGCCCACCGCCCTGTGCCCCTGGCGCGCCCCGGTGCCTCGCACTGTGGAAGGCAGAGCTGCGGGGGCGCCCCGGGAGCTGCCCGCGGCGCGAAGCAGGCAGAGCTCAACAGCCAGATCCACTGGGGCCCCCAGGGCCGCGGGGCTCTGGCCATCAGAGGGGTCGCCACCTACCGAGCTCGTCCAGAAGACAAAAATAGGGGGCGAGGCTGGTCCGCCTGCACTCCGGCAGCAAAGCGTTATGGAAATTTCGGGAAAGTTGTCTTTGGGTACACAAGGGAGTGGAAACGCCAAAATGAAGTGCCGGGAATTGGCCTCAAAGATTAACTAAAGAAAGTGTTTTTGTTTTCCCCACCTCTCTGTCTCTGGAAGGTGGAGTAGGGTGAGGCTTGAAATAATGCGGTGGAATAAATACATTGTGAGCATTATGGAATGTTGGCCTGTGACTGTTCTGTCTTACTGGATTGTAGGTGTTTGGAAATACATTAAAAACTCTAGATTTAGTTAAGTGGCGTCAATATTTGTTGTTGTTATTATGTACCCTCAAGTCGCCGGCGACTCATAGAGACCCTATGTCCAACAGCTGTGATCCCTGCTCTATCCTGTGCCAACATTTTTGTCTCTGACACTGAGTCAATCTATCTCATTAAGGGTCTTCCTCTCCTGCATTATCCCTCCACCCGCCCAAGCAGCATGTCCCTCTCCTAGGTCTGGTCCCTCCTTGCAACATGCCCAAAATATGTCAGACAAAACTTAAGAATTTTTTTTTTGAGGACCCATCTGAAATTAGAAGATGCCAAAGGGCCTTCGAAAAGAAATTCCCTTAGGTACTTCTGAAGAAAAATCATAGCATCGCATGCTCAGACTCATTCTAGCTCTTACATAGCATTGTATAAAGAGCATTGAATGCATAACATCTTGTTGGTTTTTTTTTTAATAACTTCATTTTAAATTTCATATTGGTTTATTTACAACATTCGAATACATTAGTTTTCACACCACATCTTTTCTATTTCCTTCACACACACACACACACACACACACACACACACACACTGCCTGCCCCCAAGATTTTGTGTTTCGTAGAACCACACACCAACAAAAGGGTATATCTGCTCTCTTACTAATAACTCAAGAGTGGGTAATGTTTGGTTTTTACACATTTGAAGATTCATAGATTGTGACCAAGAAAGTTGGATTATGGGAAATTGCCATAGAAATTAGAAAAGAACTTCCCAGAGGGTCGACCCTGGATTCATTCTGTTGGTCAGGCTGACTTTAAGCCTCTCTTTCCCTAACAGTAGACTTCTCTCAGAAAAGTTCACTACTTTAGGGTGCTGCAGATCTAAGGATAAATCTTCATTCTGACCCTCAGTTATTTATTCATCCAGAGTGTGAATTCACTTATTTAACTCTAAAATGATATAAACCCAAATCGGTGTAAAGGGAGGAGATCTTTGTTGATGATAAAAGAAATTTACTTGGATTAAAAGAAAAAGTTTTGTCCTTGGTTCAGAAAATGAGATCCTTCTTTGTAGAATTGTTTATAATCTATAAATAATGAGCGTATTGCTGCTAACGCTACAGTATCTAAACTCAACCAAATGAGAGATTTATGCAATTGCACAAGATTGCTTAAAACCTTTCCCTCTGATGCCCAAAAGGAGAAAAAGAACTTTTGAAAGAAACGGAGCCCTTTTAATGAGATGATCATTCATTATCATTTTAGGATAGCAGATAATTATCATTTAGTTGACTAAGAATTTAAGAATTCCAAGCTGAAGAATTAGGAAAGTGTGCAAGCTTTATCATCAGATCTCAAACCTGAAATAGGGAATAATTATAAGATCACTAGCATAAAGAAATCTTTGTGTTGTTTGTTGTTGTTATGTGCCGTTTCTTGTTGTTATGTGTCGTTTGCGACTCATAGGGACCCTACGCACAACAGCCCGAAACCCTGTTCTGTCCTGCGCCAACCAGCACGGCCTCTGACACACCCATCCCAACTACCCCAGTCACCAAATCAGTCCATCTCATAGAGGGTCTTCCCCTCCTGCGC